GGCATGCTACGTAGCCACAGTGATACAGGGCATCCTCGCATCTCCAACTAGAATGGAGAGCATCAGAACGGCAACAACAGCCCACAGCGAACTACAGGCCGTCATTAAACTCATCAGAAAGGGATGGCAGTAATGTCCCACCATGTGCCAGAGACTACATGAAAGGAAAAAACAAACTATCAGAAGCTGATGGTTTGGTCACACGAGGAAACAGGATTGTTATTCCAAAGACATTGAGAGCAGAAAATACGCAATGGGTATCAGGGGCTCATAAAGTGCAGAGACAGGGCCAATACATGGGTTTGGTGGCCAGGGCTCTCTATAGGACTAAAGAACAAGTATTACACCTCCCCTAAACGACCAGCACTCAGGTTATTCAGAGACTGAAAACAACCTTCCCTAGGTTTGGGACTTCAGACACATAACTCATCAATCTAGTCCTCTAGTCCAGGAAATGGTCATGCAGAAAGAGCAGTGCAGACCGCAAAGAGAATCCTGATAGATCCGCTGTTAGCCCTCATGTGCTATCGTTCAACTCCCTGTAGGCTACTACCACGGGAATCAGTCCAGCAGAACTGCTGATGAGGAGAAAGATCCGAACGACTACACTTGAGAGAAATCTGCAGCCCAAATGGCCCAACAGAAAGACTGTTAAAGGGGACATGTTATGAAAAATTTTGGTAAAAAAAAAAATCCCCTCCACTCCCCTGATATTTCCCCCCTGGACTCCACCCCCAGCTTAAAACAAACCTTTTGCGCAGGTCTGCCATTTTTATTCCCATTAGCGAAAGGAGTGATGTCTACCGGGTGGCTGTGGCTCAGTTGGTAGAGTTGTTGCCTCTTAACTGGAAGGTTGAGAGGCAACGCATTGCATTTAAAGAGACACACACACCAAAACGGAGCGTTCTGAGAGAGCTGGTTTATACAGGGTCACAAACCTCCTCTGCTGCTTGATTCATGTTATACTTTGACCAAAGCACAGCACAGATGTTTCATTTAGACCACAGGGGACAGGGGGAGAATATGTCACCTTTAATCAAAAGGACGCTAATGAGAAGACAAAACAAGCCCTCTATTACAACCATCATGGTGCCAGGCATCTTCCTGCTCTACGGCCAGGCGACAACTACATCAACGTCAAGCTTGACCACGGAAGACACCAGTCTCAAAGGAGTGTGTTACTCCAAGGTCTGACCTCGTCATCACACAGGGAGGAGCAGTGCTGCGACGGAACAGACTTCACCTCTGGGCAGAGTCAACTCCTCGACCTGAACAGAACACCCCACTGGCGCACACCACTGAGAGTGCTGGGGTGATTTGATTTCCCATTCCAGAAGATATTTCCCCAAATCCAAGTGAAGCGACAACCCACAAACACCAGGTCTGGCCGTGTCAGTAAGCCAGCTGCTAGGTTGGACTTGTAGAGAAAAGTATTTTCTTGGTGTTTCACATTGGACATTGGGGTGAAATAAAATAATAAACACCTATGGCCTTTTGGGGGGAAAAAGAAAAAAAGAGAGAAAATAAATCAAACAATCACCTCTTTCCTTTGAGAATGTATATAGAGTCATGTTTACTGAACATTTTGTTATATAGCTTCTACAATGTTTGCACAACTTATTTTTACAGGAGATTTAAATTTAACCTAATGCATAGCTTACTTACAGTTTGAAAAGAAAACTGAATGATGATGTCATCCCAGCAGTAATATTGTTTGTTATTAAGGAGCTGTTATTATCTCTGTTTAAGTTAACCTTGCAGTTATTTGAAATAACTAGAAAAGGGGGAGATGTCAAATATGCATAGATGACAGTATTCCTTTCATACAGTAATTATTTTTAGCCATCTAAAACATAGGTTTATCAATTTTGAGTCCAATTATTTGTTCTAAGCACCAACGTTCAATCTGTAATTTGTTTAATTTGTGTAATTGAAGTGTGTTACTTCTTACAAGTATTACATCCAACCATATCAGCATCCAGCTGCAGGATCAGCAGCCTGATGTGCTGAATATTTCCTCTTTTCTAGTTTGGTAGGCTACCGGTCATACCTCTTAGCAGTAATGGTCCTCTTCTGTCCAATGACTGTTTGCCACTGGGAAAGCACGCTGTTTTTGCTCATGCCAGCCAAAACTGCAATTTCGGTATGCCAGATGCTCTGACTCAGTCTCAGTCATGTACTTGTTGATGGGGAAGAAAACACATTCTTCTAGGCTTTGTGTCCGGCTTGTCATCAAGCCTAGGTTTCTTGAAGGAATTACAAAAGGAGCTTTGTTGTTGTTGGGTTCAGTCAGGTCAGCTATTTGCGAATTGGTTGGAAGCCAATTGACGAAAATATTTTTTTTAATGTTTTTTGTAAAACAACAAATACTACAAAACAACAATAGCCTAAATTTAAAACAAAAAGTTTTAGTTAGACTATATAAAACAACTGCATCTGTGTCAGCTGCCAACTGCGCTCCTCGCCTTTCTTGTGAAGGAGGGTTTTTAAATGAATGAACAGCAATACAAAGGATGAGGGTTTTTAAATGAATGAACAGCAATACAAAGGGGAAGCTTAGCAGATACAGTCTACCTATTCTTAAATGGCTCATATTAGGACATTTAAATGTAGCCTAAACGCTATTAACTGTCATGTAGGCTATCACAGGGTGAAATACCCCTCAATCATCCGTTTGAAAAATATATAGCCTATAGGCGAATGTTCACTTAATCGTACAGCAAAAGTTTTCATTCATTCATTTATTTTCGATTTTAGAAAAAAATGCCCTTTTGTGAATTTGGGATAAAATGATTTTGGCCATAGCTGTGATTTAATATTGTTAAAGTGATCTAGTGATGCATTCCTGACTTGTGATGCATTTTGGAACTAGATCACTTAGTAATCGAGAAAAGTTATTGTCATGGATCTGATATTAGAATTTAATAGCCTGAATATTATAATTCTGAAAAGTCATGGCGTTACTTTAGCGTCCTGAACAGCCATCGAGAGACTCATTTAGCCAAACTTTTCATTATGCTACATGAAGCTATCCGCACGCGTTTTAAAAAATGCCTAGGCCTAAATAAATATCAGGCATGAGAGGTTTACAGAGAGCTCAACGTCTCCGACAACTCATGCTAAGTAACAAGAACACCTGATTGTTGAAAGGGCTCGCTACCTTTTCAGAATGAAGAGAGTGCCCTAAAGAGGAATTTGAAATATCGTTATTCTTCTTCCCACTTCATCCAATAATGACTTTAGCCAATGCGCGCTAGTGTTTACAAGCAGCTTGAAAATGTTGCTCTCGGAAATAATCAGGAGTAGCCTTATGAAATTCGGAATAAAAATATATATTTTTAAATTATCTAGTAATTGCGAAATTTTGTAATGTATCCATGGACATGCATGCTCATTTATTCTGCCGAGATTGTAGCCTACCTTTTAGCAGTAGAATTGGTATTGGTACTACACGGCCATGAAACTGAGCCAAAATGTGACAGTTCTTTGCTCCAGTCAATATTAATAATTTCAGATTTAAACTGAGATAGTTTAGAAATTGACATTTTTGAGAAAAATCGACAAGAACGGCTTTTCGGGTGTATGATATAAGAATTGTGATCTGACATGGCAGTGTGAATTACTCGAGCAGAGCATATTTATTATTTCTTTAGATGGAGGTTGATTTGTAAATACGAAAGAGTTTAAGGACTGCTTGTGTATGGCTATTAGAGATCAAGCTTAATGCAGATGTGTCATTCCAATTCATAGGCTACTGATATCACCAACAAGCTCTTTTGTTTTCACTGATTTTATGACGTGTAAAAACTAGGATAAATAAGCGTGTGATGACATCTGGAGTTTTTTTGTGACGATAATTTTAGCCTAATTGCAGGTTGATTTTTAAAATTCAAAACCAGTAGCAGCATCTCAATTTCAGTTTAAATATTTGTTATTGAATGTGCATATTTCTGACTCAAAAGACAACTGGCAACTGCATCTCGAGTTTTATCAGGGCGGTCTCTCTCTAATATATAAATCAATCAATCAATCAATCAATCAATCAATCAATCAATCAATCAATCAATCAATCAATCAATTTGATTTGTTAATTTGTTTGGTCTCCTTTGCCTATCCATCACGAGAGTAGCACTTTAGCAAAAGTTAGAGTGGCAAGAAAAAACTTCCTTTTAACAGGCAGAAGTCTTGGGCAAGTCCAGGATCATGACGAAACAGCCTTCTACAGAAACTTTGTCGTTCAGGCAGGCCGGCCACCAACGATCCCGAGGAGCTCAGGAGGCAGGAACTCCCCGGAAAAGATATGGACAGTAACTGAGATGTACAGATAGCGACATGCAGTATATATGATAATTATATATATGGTAATTATCTATTAAAAAGTCTGGAATGGTATAAGTTAACCACGATTCCAAAATGCCATTATGTGAGCTTTTGAGTGCGTAATAGTGATCTTAATTTCGTCGTTTTGATACAGATATAGGCTGATTAACATCAAGCTCCCCCTGAGCTGATGTTAAAACAGATGAAAGCTCCATTTATACTCAATGAAACATTTTAAATATTTAATATTATTTGAATAATAACCTTTATTTAAGGTTAAAGTTACTTTTGTTGAACGACACTCTGGATATATAATTATAGGATTAAGTTACTTCTTTAAGAAAAAAATATTTTTCAATATTTATTTTTGTCAAGATAAAGAAAAATTCTTACAATGTTGTGTAAAAAAGAAAAACAGACAGCTTCTGCCTAAAAATCTCCTGGTGCAAGGCCCTGAACATTTGTCACTTTCTGCTTAGCTCCAGGGTTAGAGGTCTCAATACCTTACCTTCATATTATCGTTTTGGTAAGAGATTATTTCGATGTCTTGTCACTTAAATGTCTTGATTTAAACCCCCCCCCCCCCGGTGATTATGCAGTCCGGCTGGTCAGACTCCTCCCTGCTACTTATAAGAGCCCTGATCTGATCACCACACACTGTTCGAACTTTGTGCTCTGAAATGGAGCACTATAAAACTTCGGAGCGGTTTTATCACAGTTCTTTATTCAGCATCGGCAGTCTGTGGAGGCGAGTGGGTTTGATGGATGAACAGGAGTCTCTTTCCCCGTTCCAGAAACTAGGAGACGCACATCAAGAGAAATACAGTCCAGAGATAATATTTGACTCTAAGATGGACAGCAAAATCCCAAAACGGCACACTGAAGAACAGACCAACCAGGGGACTTTAACTGGGAATGGAGAATTGAGAAAAGGAGATTCAAAGATACACGGGGGCGCAGCAGTAAGCGTTGAACCTAAGAAACCTCCTTTCAGTTATAACGCTCTCATCATGATGGCGATCCGTCAAAGTCCCAAACGACGGCTTACACTCAACGGGATCTATGAGTTTATTATGTACAACTTCCCATACTATAGACAAAAAAGACAAGGCTGGCAGAATTCAATCAGGCATAACCTGAGTCTAAATAAGTGTTTCGTTAAAGTGCCGCGCCACTATGACGACCCAGGTAAAGGCAACTACTGGATGCTGGACCCCTGCAGCGAGGACGTCTTCATAGGGGGCACATCAGGTAAACTCCGGCGCAGGACCACAGTTGGCTCCAGAGCGAGGATTGCACTTAAAAGAGGAGAGGGTAATCTTTTATCCTCCAGCTCTGCAACTGGAATGACCTTCACCTCAGCAGGTTCATTTTACTGGCCGGTGCCGCCGTTTCTGCCTCTCCCAACACCAGTGCGCACACATTCTGGAACAAAGGCTTACCTGAGCGCTCACTCACGCCTCCATAACACCGCCACATCGGTAGTTCCACAACGACCACGCTTAAGTGAAACAAGTGCTGCAGCCGCTGACCGGTTCGTGCAGATGCACCAGCAGATGTCCTACATCGGAGTCAGCTGCACGCAGTCTCGTCGCCATCAGACCGGCACTGCCTGTACCGCTTTCTCCGCATCTATCCCTGCACGCAACCTGCCGCTGACCGATCAAAGCTCCTTTGGTCTGATTTCCGGAAAAGCCAGCTACTTGTACTCTCGCCAAATCCCATGTACCAGCACGTTTGGTCCGTGCCAAGATGAGTATACTCACAACCACTACGCCAACCAAAACGCCACAACCAGGACGTCACCAGGACAATTCCTATCCAACAACAGTCTGTTGGAGCCCGTGGGGTGCTGTTACCAAATGCCATATTGCTGCCCTCAGGTCAGGTCAGGCTCTGATCGAGATGGAATTTAGAACAATAGATTAGGATCATACTCATCATAATATCTACCATTTATAATATGTTGTATAATATAATAGGAGACTACCACACTAATAAAGAATTTAATTTCTTGATTAAATACAAATATGGCCCCAATAAATAAAAAAATCTAATTTGAAATGGGAACTTCTTTGCTCTTGTTAAGACGCCACTCTCAGAAATGTGTATGTAATATATATTATTATTATATTATTATATATATTCTAATATAATTCTAATTCTATGATATTTTAGTGTAACATGGTCAAAATTTAATTTATTTAAAATTAATTTGATGGTCATTTGTTCTGCATCTGTAAGGATACCTAAAAGTTTTCTTAGTATATTTCAATGTGTCTAAACCTATTCACTTGTTTATTTAGAAATGAAATCTCTGTCTCAAGTATTGAATTGAATTAAAATTGAAAGCCTTTATGTCCTTGTATATCAACGAGATCAAGAGCGCCACTCCAGGTTGGTGCATATACGTTATAAGGTCACACTTTATACAGTTTAAAAAACAAAATGCACAGAGAAGCATATCCCATACAAACAAACAGATTCACGTAAGAAAACAACCACATTCCATAGACATAGACATGTCCAGTAAAAAAGAAGACATTCATGTAAGAAGCAACTTTAAATAAATAACGAAGTGCTGGCTCAGTAATAAAAAGGGAACCATTGTAGATCTGAGGTTCAGATGAGTTGTAGCCCATTAATATTACAAAACTAACAAAAAATATCATTGTTTTTTTTCCCATCATGTAGTCCAGGCTTTGGGCTTCTAATGATTTTTACAAGGTTTATGAGGCTGACGTCATGGATTAGTTTACTAGCTTAAGAGTCGTTGATTTATTAAAATAAAAAGGTGATTTAAAAAATTAAGTAACAATCTGCTGGGTTTCTTTTATTGTCTTCAATTTCGTTAATATGGCAAATAAGATATATTACATCAATATTTAATTAGACCGGGTATTTAAAGAAAGATGATTTTCATTAAAAACTTTTGTTGTCGACTGTTCTTGGTTATGTCATTAAATGTTTCACACTGGGGCTTTATGGATCGACGTCATTTTCATATCTGACTGAGGAAAATAGTCCCGATCGGATGCTCCCCTCTTTTCAGTCAAAATGTGCACCTGGCGCGTGCTTGAGGAGACCCCATGATGTAACAGTTCATTGACTGAATGTATTAATATTATTAACAAGAAGAATCACAATCATAATCACAGTAATAATAATACTTTAATCGGGCAGACACTTCCAGTCCCTCCAATCTAATAGATCCATTGTTTTTAATATTTGTTTGTGTAGCCTTCACTGCTTAGCGTGTGTCTCTTTATCTCTCCAGTCCCCCAGCAGTGCACATATCATGGCTTTCATTGTTGTTACTTTGTTGTTTTTATCTCTGCTTTGTAACGTGACTTTAAGTGCTTTGAAAGGCACCCTTACATATTATTATTATTATTATTATTATTATTAGACTATTAAATTCGTTGTGTAATGAAATTAAGTATTTTACAAAAGTAATGAAGATTTAGCTCTTTTCTTGGATTAACATTTCATGGTGCTTTATATTCCTACATCTCAGATTGAAGTGCTTTCGGATTAGCTGTTTTCTAAATTTGTGAGCACAACCAAAACCTTAAATCGGGCCAAAGAATGAAAACACAACATTATGCAGCTGTGATATATCGGTATAATAGAAATTCAATCAGGAGAGACTAACTTCAGAATGAACAACTATTTATTTAACAATTTAGGAAATAAATGTGCAAAGTAGACTATTTGAGGATTAGACGCCATCATCATGACGTACTCTGAGGGGTAACGATGCCGACAGCAGGATAGGATGCCCCCCTTTAGAGTTCAGACCCTGGTGGTGATAGAAGAATGCAGGATGTGATGAGGAGTGGGTTTCTGAGGTTGAACCTGGACTCTCCTGAGCTGGAATGGAGGTGACAGGCGGAGGAGGAGGGTCGCATACTGAAATGTCAAACTGACAGTTAGAACAGGTTTTAAAATTTGACTGCAGCAGGATTGAGAGAGGATGTGGCAGAGTCAGGTTGGATTATTACGTAAAGAGTAAACAACCCAAATCATCTGATCACCAGAGCAGGGAGACGGAGGAAGTGGTCGAGAGAGAGTGGCTAAATGGAATGAAGAAATTGACTGAAACTTTCCTGGGAGCTCTTGAGCTCTCTTAGGCTCCTCGAGATCGTTGGTTGACGGCCTGCCAGAACAACACCTCACAATAATCTTGAGGATATTATGATACCACACAAAGCTAATGCTCTCACTGCTAAACTAGAACATCATTAGCTCTAACGCTCATTATCGTTACGGCCCCATATACTTCCCTGCAACCCGGTATCATGCCAAAGCGTGTAATAGACACGTTGGTCCACTAGAGGATGCGTGTCAGTGTCACGCATTGCCTGTCTTCAGCGTCAAATGTACACGCCTGTGATCTGTGCCGTACCAGCAGGGGGCGATAATTTACTCAATGTCAACATTTACTCAATGTCAACATTGCACTTCTGGTGAGATGCCAAACCTCATTTCGTTACTCTATACTTGTATATGTGTAATGACAATAAAGTTGAATCTCATCTCATCTCATCTCATCCATCGCGGACAAAAGAGAAGTGTTTCAGTGTATTCCAAACCTCCTTCCTGTCAGGTAAGAGTAATTACCCGGGATTAATATTTATTATTAACTTATTATTAATCTAAGTTTGAAATATTTGAGGTTGCCTATGACTGTTTTTCATGCTAAATACATGTCGTGTGGTGGTAGAGAGCCAAGGTTATTAACATGAGAGGAAATTGAAGTAGTAACGTAATGAAAATGCATTTAGCAATAGCATTTAGCTACCCAGCTAGTTTAAAGACTATCTCTACAATAATGTTTTCTCAAATTAAACCTGATAAACTTGGGCTAATATTAGATCTAGCTAAGGTTGAAGCAGTACAAGATAGATCAGTATTTGGACCTGTTTCTGTGTAAACAGTGATCGTGTTAACTGGCGGTGTTACGGTGTGACCAGTGACCGTGTCATCTGATGGCTTACAGCCTAATGCGGACGTGCTCTTCGCGGTAACCGCATCTAATAAACACGAAAGGTGTCCACGCAAATGCCTCAAAATGCACTCTTTAGATACGTCTGTAAATGAATGATTTAACAGAAGAGGCTCTATCCGTTTCTATTCCGTTGTGAGCAGGACACCAACAGACGCGTTCGGGTGAAAGTCTCCAGTTAACGCGGTCACTCTTTGCACCGTAACACCTGTCAGGCAATTTCTGTTTTAGCTTTTTATCTTTTGTACACAAAGGGCCATTTAATAAATCCTAACTTTTGTCAGGCCTCCCTCTAACATGAAGACAGGGGAGGTATTTTATTTATGGTCAGTATGGGAGGACTATTGAATAACTGGTTATATCAGTAAATGACATCGATGATTCAGACATTTGTCTCCAGATTAGGAACCTACGGCTTCTATATATCCCAACATTAGACTACTACATCATAGACTTTGGTTTAAATCAGCATAGCTTAGTTGGCATGCTCCTAACATGACAGCCAGTGGGAGCTGTATTTTCACTGGCTTCTATTTGTGATGTGGCTTTGATTTGATCATAAATTAAATAACAATTGAATACTTGCTGTTGTTTTTGTCAGAGTCTGCAGCTACCAGTGGTGACGACCAACATAATCTTCAGCTGTCAATTAAACAAATGTTTCTTGATGTTCCATTTATATTACTTGCAGATGCATCATCTGGATTGTTTTGGTATCGAGAAGTCTACAGCTCACATACCTTATGTCTTTATTTAAAAGAAAGTAGGCCTGCCTTTTATGATATTCAAGTTATTTCATTTTCTTACAATTTGATTAATTGATTGTTTATTCTGTTTTAAGAAGTAATCTTTTAGTTTTCTGATATCTGCATACATATGCTTGTACATTGTGTTTTCTGTTTGTATGTCTATAGACAGCAACAAAATTAGGCACCTTAGACGAAGGAAACTCCGGGAAAGAGAAGAAGAATGGAACCTGCTTACAGCTTAAAGTATGTCTGTAAAAGACAAAGAAAACACACTGAGTCGACTGTAGTTATTCACTCTTCTGTCGTTCTGCCAGACTTTTATTAAACAAATGTTTAAATACCAAAACATACAAAATATGTTACTTCTCTAAGTGCTTTTCAGACACTCTGATTAATTCACTAAATACAAAATCTAATTTTACTGTTCAAATTAACATCCATGTAAACACAAGCTCATTATGGTTTAATTACCTAAACTAGCATTTGCCTCTTTTTTTATTTTCAATGGGAAAAACCCATGTTAACTGACAGAGCTACCAGATAAACAAATAACATTTAACTTATGGAACAATCTTACTTTTGTACATAAACAGAATGAATGATCTATTTATTTATTTTACACAGTATCATGAGCGTTTTTGACCAACTGAAAATCAGAAGGGAATTGAAAATGAAAGTTACGGTCATGCACAAGGCACTTTTCTTAGCATGCTAGCACTCAAAACCGTTTTTACTCTCTTTACAAACATAAGACCAACAAAGTGTTATAGAACCAATAAAACTTTAAGTGGAATTAAATCTACATCATATTGTGAAAGTTCTGTGTTTTAAACTTCAATTACTAACCTGTAAAAGACAAAGAAAACACACTGAGTCGACTGTAGTTATTCACTCTTCTGTCGGTTCTGCCAGACGGAAGCAGAGCGCAGCAAAGACAATAAACAGCCCGCTCAGCAGGAGAGGTGCTGCCCCCTTGTGGCATATACAGGAACAACTTCAAAATAACTTCTTTAACCAAAACACAGATACGTTTGTATAATATTCATACAAAATAACCAAATACAATAACAAAATGTGACAACACATTTCGGTGTGTCACAGAAACAATGAAGTTCTACAATGAACAGGTTCCAGATGTGGAGCGAATCATTGAGGAGAA